TGCCGCCTTTATTGCCAGGAGAATGCGTGTGTGGGTGTATGCATGCATGCATGTGCATTTGTGTGCCCGTGTGTGCCTTTCTGCTGCTTTTGCAAGGAGGGAGCAGCCTTATATACAGACTTACAGCACAGTGGAAAAACCACAGATGTAAGAAGAGCTCGTGTTTTCCTCGTGCTAGATATTGATGTCAGGTGGGCAAGGCCGGGGCTGTAAGCCAGGACTAGAGAGCAGGATGCACCTGTGGCTATCAGCTGACAAGCAATGCACAGAAAATCCATGGGGCTGGGATCCAACAAGCCAGAATAGCCACGATAGTTCACACAACTCTCCCCTCCCCAGTTTCAAGCCTAGAGGAGGTGAATGTGGGCCATCAGACCCTTAACTGAGATGCTAGCCATTCGCTGCCTCCTGCCTCCCCTAGCTGTGCATAATCCTGCCTCAGGGCACAGGAGGTGGACAGTTTACTGTGATGAGTGTCATGAGCTTCCATGGGTGTCACCCACACTGGAGTGAACTTTTCAGTGGTGCCGCTGCCTTGAGTCACCCACACTCGCCTCATCCTGCTCTTGTAGGTAACCCTAATAGACTCATTGTTCATTAAGCTTGCCTTGGCTGGAATCATTTCTTCAGGCTGTCATGGCTCTCTTCATCTGGAGTGACTAGACTTAGACGCCACCAGAAACATCACTTCTGGTTAACAGTTTCTTTTCTTAATCACTGAGAATCTCATGCTCTCCTTTCTAGTCTATAAGGATCCCCCCTCACCCATGAAGCTGTTTGTCAGAATTGAGACAACCTTGTGTTATCTATTTATTTCCTCTTATTAGTCCAAGAATTTTCTTTATCTCTTACCCGTGCTTGGGTAATGTGCCACACTTGATTGAGTTTAAAAAAGAAAAGTCTGCCTGGTGACCTTTTGGTCCTCATGTACTAGGATATTTGTGTTCTCTAAGTTTGGGGTTGGAGGTTCTAATAATCTGTGAATACATTTTCTACCTCTTTGGTATTCTCAAATTTCTCTGATTCTAAGAATCTGAACACTATCCTATGCCCACTGGTTTTTTTTTTTGTTGTTGTTGTTGGGTTTTTTTTTTGAAAAGTTATAAAAACAAGTATGGGAATTAAATAATAACTATTCTGTTTCTTACCCCTCCCACATATATCTCTGGTCCTTTCTTGAACCAGTCTAGTAATAATATAGCTAAGTTACTGTGTAGGGTGAGAAGAACTGTGACAAGGACAATTCTCTCATGTCTTCGTAAGTGCCAGCAAGTCCTGTTATCTTCATGGCTTTGTTTTCCTCTGAGGGGGAAAGAACCTATGCCTACTTTTCTTAATGTGTTGTAGCTTTGACCTCAGACATTTGCTCTGGAGAAAGACTAAGACCCCTTAGGGAGAAGCCCCTGATGACCACCAAAGTACATTTAACATTTTGAAAATGGCAGAAATGGTAATACAGGAAGCCACAAAGACCCAAGAAACCAGGACTTTCTCCTAAATGTGGGACAATTAATCTTAAATCAATTAAGCTCACAGACCATTCTCCTTTTAAATCCCCAGTCTCATGGTAATGACAAATGCCAAGGTAGGAATTATTTCTCATTTATGTAAACTACAAATACCGATCTTTAAAGAAACCAAGAGAATCTGATTAATTTTAAGAATTTATCAAAATAAATGTTCTGTACCAGAAAGTAAATCAAGCCATTTAAAGCAAATTTCCATTAGTAATTTGAAAGTTAGCCCCAAGGCTACTTTAAAACTTTAGATATTTACAGAAGATGAATTATAAGATTAGAGTTTATTGAGTACAATTATTTGAACAAGTTTGGACAAGGCAGTGGCTTCACAAGTTAAGGGGCGATTAGGGGCTGTTGAGGTGGCTGGGTGGGTAAAGGCACTTGCCACCCATCTGTGTCAGTGTTCTATTGCTTTGGAGAGACACTGTGACTAAGGCAATTTATAGAAGAAAGAATTTAATTGGGGCTTGCTTACAGTTTCATAGGGTCATCATGACTAACATGGTGGGAGCCAGACAGGCAAGACTCTGGAGCAGTAGATAAGAGCTTACATTTGATCCACAAGGTGGAGGCAGAAAGAAAGCGAGACTGGATTTAGCATGGGCTTTTGAAACCTCAAAGCCCCACCCCCAGTGACATCCTTCCTCTGATGAAGCCACACCTCCCAATTCTTCCTGAGCAGTCAATCAGCTGGAAACCAAGCATTCAAATGCATGAGCCTCTGGAGGCCATTCTCCTTCAAACCACCACACTGCTAAGACGATGACCTGGGTTCCAGACCCCACATGATAAAAGGAGAGAACAAAGTTCACCAGCTGCCTTCTGACCTCCATACCTATATCACGGCATGGGTGCACTCCCATGCCAATAATAAGCAAACAAACAAACAAATGTGATACTAAAAAAAGGAAGGGATAGCAAATCCTAGGCGGTGACTGGTACAGCATCATAATAGATGTGGTTGATTTGGATGCTCAGAAGAGTCTGTTCCACAATATACCACAGTGGCAACAATTGTATTAAGACACAGAGAAAAATATTCCTACAACCGCATGAACATTTGTAATTGTTAGTTATAAAAATGCAGCAGAAAACAAAGGTGTCTGATGTCCACGTTGACTGACATCATATGTCTGCCTGGTATTAATATGGGGACAGAGCAGAAGTGAGCAAACTCCATCAGTCAGATGTTGACTTAGCATCTTCCCTAGTGCTTCCTGGCCTATTTCACGTCATCATGTATGAAGATGACATATGAGCACAACATGTGGGGCAAACTGAAGTCCTTAAGCTATAGTTTTGCTTTCCACTGTTTCTGTTACCCATACTCAGCCATTATCCACGGCTATTAAATGAGAAATTCCAGAAATACACAATTATTAAGTTGTGAATTGTACATTGCTTTGAGTGATGTGATAAAATTTTGCGCCATTCACTCTTTCCTGCCCACAGCTTGAATAGCCCTTTTGTCCAGCATAATTACAACTTGTGTACAACCCACCCACCAGTTTCCAAGCTCCGGCATGATTATGAGGTCAAGGGTTCAGAAGACATCCCAGAGCTTGTGTTCAGGTAACACTTATTTTGTTTATGGTCCAAAGTGTCAATGTGAAGAAAAGAGTCACCCAGGCAGAAAACCAGGAAAGACAGATGAATCCTGGTGCTGTGTGCAATGCTGACAAAGCAGACAAGGAAAACGGTACACGTGAAGTTTGGTAGTGTCGAGTTCACACATCCACTGGGTAGGGATGTCATTACAATGAACCCACGGTACACGTGAAGTTTGGTAGTGTCGAGTTCACACATCCACTGGGTAGGGATGTCATTACAATGAACCCACGGTACACGTGAAGTTTGGTAGTGTCGAGTTCACACATCCACTGGGTAGGGATGTCATTACAATGAACCCACGGTACAAGTGAAGTTTGGTAGTGTCGAGTTCACACATCCACTGGGTAGGGATGTCATTACAATGAACCCACGGTACACGTGAAGTTTGGTAGTGTCGAGTTCACACATCCACTGGGTAGGGATGTCATTACAATGAACCCACGGTACATGTGAAGTTTGGTAGTGTCGAGTTCACACATCCACTGGGTAGGGATGTCATTACAATGAACCCACGGTACACGTGAAGTTTGGTAGTGTCGAGTTCACACATCCACTGGGTAGGGATGTCATTACAATGAACCCACGGTACATGTGAAGTTTGGTAGTGTCGAGTTCACACATCCACTGGGTAGGGATGTCATTACAATGAACCCACGGTACACGTGAAGTTTGGTAGTGTCGAGTTCACACATCCACTGGGTAGGGATGTCATTACAATGAACCCACGGTACACGTGAAGTTTGGTAGTGTCGAGTTCACACATCCACTGGGTAGGGATGTCATTACAATGAACCCACGGTACAAGTGAAGTTTGGTAGTGTCGAGTTCACACATCCACTGGGTAGGGATGTCATTACAATGAACCCACGGTACAAGTGAAGTTTGGTAGTGTCGAGTTCACACATCCACTGGGTAGGGATGTCTTGTAATGAACCCATGGAATAGATAACAGAGAGCTACAGTGCTGAGAACCTGGGCTGGCTGTTTCAAAACAGCCCTACCTTGCCCAAGGCTGAGGATATCAGTGTTTTGAAAGCCTCAAACAGGAACCTCAGTTTAGTCTTTTCTATTCTTTCTCTGTTTTTGAGATTATAATTATATGATTTCCCCCTTCCTTTTTCTTCCTCCAAATCTGCCCTATACTCCTCCTTGTTCTCTTTAAAATTCATGGCCTCTATTTTCATTAGTTATTGGTATTGAATAACCAGTTGGTGTGCTCTTCCCTAGGGAAGACTATTTCTCCCTCCAACACGTAGTTATCTATAGTTCTTTGTGTGGGGTTGATGTCTCATTGTCTTTCCCCTAGAGAGTTTGGCATGGCTATTGTTGTTGTCTTTGTTAAGCTCATGTTCAGACAGTCATGTTGGTGAGACTTTCTGAGTATAACTTTTGACATTACTAGGATTTCTCCTACATTTGTGTGTGTGTGTGTGTGTGTGTGTGTGTGTGTGTGCATACATGCCTGCCATAGCACACATGTGTGGACCAGTGAACAACTTTCAGGAGGTGGTTCTTTCCTCCAATCATGTGTGTTTCCCAAAGATGGAACTCAGTTGACTAGGTTAGTAGCAAGCACATTTACCATCTTGTTTGTTCAAATATAGTCATTTTATGAAACAATACAATTGTGGCAAGTTGAGGTATAGGTGAATCAGAACATAGCATTTTATAAATATATATTTATTTATTTACATACATACAATATATAACTTAATTTTGTTTGAGACAGGGTTTCACCGTGTAGCCCTGGTTCTTCTAGAACTCACTCTGTAGAGTATGCCTTGAACTCATGGAGATCTACCTGCCTCTGCTTCCTATGTGCTAGGGTTAAAGGCATGTGTCACCACTGCCTGGCAATTTTTAAACCATATACGTAGGCAGTCAAAGGAAGGTAAATGAAACAAGCATCCCTTGCTCTGAAAGGACCTCAGGCAGACCAGGTTTTCTTCCAAGTTGCCAATGTTCCTGAGAAGGGCACATTAACTCATTGAAAAGAGGGGATCTCTCTCTCTCTCTCTCTCTCTCTCTCTCTCTCTCTCTCTCTCTCTCTCTGTGTGTGTGTGTGTGTGTGTGTGTGTGTGAAAGGCATACAATATATTTTTATCATCTCCAACCCTTTCATCCACCCCTCCCCAAATCCACCTTCACTTCCCTACCTAATCAACTTTGTGTCCTCCTTTAAATATAAAAGCTCTCAGGTCTCATTTGTGCTTCTCAAGGGGGCTGTGGGATCATCCACTGGAGTCTGGTCGGTCTACCAGGGACAACAACCTTAATGAAATGAACTCCCCCTCTCCCAGCACTATTAGTGGCTCCTCAGCTAAGGGTGCCCACTTCCCCTCTCCGTGTTGGGATTGTGTTTGACTTGAGCTAGTGTAGGCCCTGTGCATCCCATCACTGCCGCTGTGAGCTCATCTGTGCAAATGTCCTGTAGTGTCTGGAAAGCTTTCATTGTACTCATCTGCTGCCTCTTACAGCCTTCCTGCCTGCTCTTCCTGTTCCCTGAGCCTTGGCAGGAAGGAGTGTGATCCCTGTCCCACTTAGGGCTGAAACATTCTGCAGTTTCTTGTTGTGGGTCTTTGTGTTGATTGGTATCTGCCATAAAAAGAAGCTCATTTGATGAGGGTTGAGAGGGCACTTATCAAGAAGTCCTTCAGAAAGCCAAGATGTTTTTTTGTGTGTGTGTGGGTCCTGGAGATTAAGTCATGTCTGTGTGACTGGGAGGCAAGCACTTTACAGAATGACGTTCACACATGTTTTTTTGTATGATGTGTATGTCATTTATGCCTCTCATTTAAATAATAAATGTTCCTTGGCTGTGTGGTACATCATTCATAATCATTTAGTTTCTAGAGCTTGGGGATCATTGTGTGCCTATAAACAGTTTCGTTATGTTTTTTTAGTTTGTTTTGGGGTGTGTATGTTTGGAGAAGTGGCTTACTTTTAGTCAGGGACAGAAAGTAAAGGAGATGAGCTGGGGTGTCCAGTTGTGCCAGAGGTAAAGAAGTGATTAAGACCAAACAGATTACCAGTTGATGCTCTATATCAACAGGGTACCACTCAGTAGCTAAGTGAGTGATCTCCCAGTGGCCAATGCGGGAATAATTTGAGGGAGTTGGAAGTGGGAGAGTAATATTGGATTACAGTCCAAAGTGTAGAATAAGAACCTACAAGTCTGTATTGATGCAAATAATATGGAATGAGTAAAGAGGAAAGTGGGGGAGAAGAGGCCAGTTTCCAGTACAGAAGAATCCCATGCAAATGGTGTCTATATTTTATGACTCCAAGCCCTCATGTGTAGTCAGTGTGCAATGATATCATTTCACAGAGGTCTTTACTGCAGCATGCAAAGTCTCTTGCTGTATCCTTCAAATGGTCTTAATGTATCCTTCAAATGGTCTCTGGCTGAAGTGACTAAATTGGGAAGATGGTGGTATTAGTTTTTGTCTGCCCCCTCCTACTGCCCCCCCATCATTTTGACACTATTTGGATCCTTTTCCAGAACAGTGTTGCTTCTATAGTCAGAAAGCAAGTTGAGATGATAAACTCGGTCTCTACAAGGGTGATGCTTCTTCCAAGGGGACTGCCTGTCTCCAACTTGGTTATACTCCTTCCTAAAACTGCAGATGTCTTCATTGGCGCCTACATCTCCTCATGGCCCTTGTCGGGCTGAGGGTCCAGTGTGTAGTGAGAGGCATAAAGGCCAGGAATCTGTATTTTTTAATTGAAAAATATAGCAGGTGATTCTCACAGGTGATGTTAAATCTTGAGACTGACAGCTACAGAAAATGACTGTGTCACTTTGGCAGAATGAAAGAGTTTAAGACTATGTACACCAAGGTATAGTAAGGAGTGTCTATATCCCAGGACCTGGGAGACTGAGGAAGGGAGGATGCAAGCCAAGGCTAGTCCACGCTGCACACCAAAGGAGCGGGAGAGAGAGAGGACTCGAGGAGGAGTCTTTTCAGAAGACAATAGCGTAGATAAAAGGGAAGGAGATCAGAGCCAACCTATAGGACACTAAGGGCTGGGAAACAGTTGAATGACAGGGTATAAGCTTAACACAAGCTTGGCCTTAAGCTCTGGACCCAGCACCCTCCTAAAAATACATATAAATTAATCAAATAAAACAATCAAATGTGAGACTATATTTTAAGTAAATCTTGATTACATACTGATTGGTATTAAGGAGTACATGTTAATTTTGTCATGTTGATTTATGCAAAAAGATACTCCTTTCTATTTTAGATATGTTTAAGTGGAGAGGGGATGGGGATTGTGTGATATCTGGTAATTGCTTTAAAATTCCAGATGGGCTAGCAAGATGGCTCCGTGGGTGAATGTGTGTGCCCCCGAGCCTGACAGCCTGAGTTTGGTCCTCACAATTGGATGGTAAAAGAAGAGAGCAGACTCTCTCAAGTTGTCCTCCAACCTCCATGTGCCACCACATCCTTCCCATACCCTGCACATATGAAACAAGTAAGCAGAGAAATAAGTGGAAATTTAAAATACATATTCCACAGGGCAAAAAATCAGAGCAGCGAAAGGGACGGATGAGGTGGAGCAGGCACGGTGAATGGAATGCTCCGGGGAGTGTGTGATGGGCACAGGGGGTCTTGCTGGACTCTCAAGTTGTTTAATACGTTTGAAATATTTTAGAGAAAACTGCCAGACAGACCCAAGGAAATGGAAATATATGGTCCCACAGAATGAGATGCCAATTTTAGGAAAATGGTCTGGAGGATCCTTAGGAAGTTAAACACAACCCTAACCCATGAAATTCCCCTTCTAGCTACATATGTAAGAACTACAAACATGTACTCTAACATATATGCAAAATAACATTATTCACAATAGCCAAAAGGTGGGAACAGTTAAAATGCTTGTCAACACATGAATGGATAAACAAAATGCATGCATAGATATGTATGTATATATACATGATGAAATTTGGAAACAGTATACCAAGTGAAATAAGCCAAACATAAGAAATATATTGTATCATTTCAATTATCTGAGATATTTAGAATGAAAAAAATCCATAGAGTCAAAATAATTAAGATTGAGGTTCTGAAAAGTTAGGCTAGACACTGAGGCCTGGGGTGAGGGGAATAAGGAATGGTTGCTGAATGACTACCGTGCTGTCTAGATGCAGGTGTAGCTGCACAGCATTGAGGATGTATTGTGTCGTCGGGGTTCAGAAGCATGCTGCTGTGAGCATTTAACCATATTTAAAAATGAAAGCTGACAGCCAGCCATTGGGATGAAGAACTGGGTTGGGATACAATATTGGGGTACCTCATACCAACATCCTTGCATCCTTGATGAACTGAAGGGCCACACTTTTTCTTGTCCCTGACCACTGGAAATGGTGACAAACTAGGGGAAAATGTAACAATGACTGGGTGGACAGACATTACCTCTGATACGTGCAAATCATGTTTTAGCTACATAAACTTCTTGGATTCCTTGGTGTTTGCTTGTTTGTTTAAGTAATTATATTGCCAGGTCTAGAGTCCTTACTCGGGAAAACACATTGTTGATGTTAATTAAATGAAATCCACAGAACCAGACTGAATTTTAATATATTATGGATTCCCACCGACAGCACCATCCATCCCACTTAATAGTTCTGGCAGAATAGGCATGGCAAAACTTGTTAGCACAAATGCCTTCCCCAGTCCAAAGACTGAAGCACCAACATATAGATGCCTTGATGTAAAGTCAGTCAAACCCCGAAATTTTACGCCTATAATCAAAAATCCCACTGGCCTATGACATATGACACTGTCTTCTGTGTTCAGTGATGACTCTCTATATATAAAAGACAACTCAAAGGCTGGGCCTGTCAGGACACCTGTAAATCTCAGCACTTGAGAGGTAGAGGCAGGAGAATGACTTTAGGTTAGCAGTTTGAGGCCAGAGTGGACTACCTGAGACTGTATCTTATAAGGTTATCATTGTTATTATTGTGTGTGTATGTGTGATGTTTATGTGAATTAGAGCCTATGTGTGTCATGGTGCATGTGTGGAGGTCAGGGGACAACTCTCAGGAATCGATTCTGTCTTTCTGCTGTGTGTTCTGGGGATGGACCTCTGGTCTTCAGGTTTATGTGGTGAGTGCATTTACAAGCTGAGCCATCTTTCCGGCCTACTTTCTTCAACATTAATTAATTTGTATGGAGGTACACATATGTGCACAGGTGAGCTTACATGTGCATACATATTTGTGTCTGGGCTAGAGATCATCCTTAGATAGGAGCCACCTCTGTTTTTTATTTGTTTCTTTCAGACAAGTTTTCTACTGTGTGGCTCTGGCCAACCTACAACTCAATATGTAGACCAGGCTGATCTTGAACTCACAGAGATCTACCTGCCTCTGCCTCCCTAGTCCTAGAATTAAGGGCATGCACCACCAAGCCTGGCTCATTATTTTTGAGACAGTGTCTCTCATTGAACATGGGGCTTGCCCAATTTCACTATCCTGGCTGGCCAGCGAGCTCTAGGGATCCTCCTGTCCCCATGTCCCCAGTGCTGGGATGACAAGCCCATGCCACCATGCTGACTTTTTATGTGGACATTGGGGATCAGACTCAGGTCCTCCTGTTTGACATGTTGCTGGACTGAACCATCTCTCCAGCCAATTTTATTTTCCTTCCCAGCCCACATACTTCTTTCTTCCCTTTAACCTTCCTTCACTTCCATCATTAGGGAAACATGGCAGCTTCTACCAACTATGGCTATCAGTTTTCTTGGGAGGAGGCTGTGCCAGGTGACCTCAGTGTGAATTAAAACATATCAAAGTTGGAGTTTTAGAGTTGCCAGGCCTCCTTTTCCACGAGGACGGGCTCTATTTTCACTCGTACTCCAGCAAGAGATTAGCAGCTCGAAATCACTTTGACATCGTCAGTTACTCTACTCATACCACAGGGAGATTTAATTCCAACCTGTGAAATTGTAATTGCTTCTCAAGGAGAAGTGAGGAATCCTGGGTGATGGCCA